TCAAAAATGTAAATGGATGGAGCAGTTGATTCGGGGGTAGTGGATTTTTATAGATTACATTTTAACCCTTAGCAATCTTAGCTTTGCATTTGTTTTCCTTTTGAGATTTTTTTTCACAGAGACATATTCAACCTGCAAAATGGATATTTACTTTAAATAAGAACTGATTTGATTCAGCCATTTTGGTTAATGTGGTTGGGTGTTTCCTTTCCTTGCTTTTGTTATTACCAAGCTTGTTCTCTCCCTCTTCAATCATATTAGATACAGCTTATGTTGCATTTTCATTATAAACACAAACACATTTTCTCAGACTCCAGGTACTTTTCAATCTTTCTTACAATGTCGGTTTAAGTATTTTGCAAGCACTGCTGTCCCTTCATCCTCTGGTTTGCCTTGACATCTCAAGAGCTCAGTAAACAACTGACTGCGTGCTGTCACAGCACGTGCCCCTCTGCCCCGTATGAAAGAAAATAAACTATGCTGTCCTCTTCAGCACAAATAGACACTAATGCCGAGCACTGCTTTGCACATATCCAGAGATCTGACAACGAGGAAAATATCTATGTGCTGACTGTCGCAGTGTTTTGTCTCGGGTGAGGCTGCTCCAGAGATGTAGACAGACAGAGATGGACAGATCGACCACAGAAGACACACAGGGCTGTCATCTTGACTACAGCACACAAACAGCGGAGAAAAAGATAGAAGCTAGAGAAAACTGGAGAAAAAAAAGTGATCAAAATAAATCAAAAAGGGGGTTCCCAACTGACATCCCCTCAAATGGGTTATTTACTTGTGTTTAGTTTTGTCAGTCTGTAAATATTTGGCAGTGCCCAGTGTTATGAGTTTTCAATCAACATTTGAGACGTAAACAGAGAAACTGATGGCATTTTGATCTGTCAACAGCGCTTGGATAATTTCATAAACAGATCTAAGGCTGTATTCACACAGCCTGGTGCTCTGGAGAGTGCAGAGATCAACCAGGCTTTTGAGATTTTAATCAAAACAGACAAGTGAGTCATCGTCTGTGATTTTATCTTTACTGTTGCTCTGTCACTCTCTGTTCATTGACTTCAATTCACTAAATACATGTTAAACTGACATGCTGTTCTATGGGTAGAGTCATTTGAGCTAGGCTGTTCATTATTTTAAACCAGAGTACATTTACAAACCCTTCAACAATACTTTGTTGAAGTAATTTTTATTCCATAATAATCAATCTCTCAACATATGCTGGTGAAGATTCCTAGTCATCCAGGTCATACCAAAAAAAGTAAAAAAAAAAAATCTGTATGTTATGTAGGGGACCAAAATATCTCTCCTGGTCAGCCAGGCCAACAAAGCCCCTAATGACTCCTTTTTTAGAGGCATGGGCCGATATCAGATATTGCAGGCCAACAATGACTCCCCATTACTAAGGGGTGGACCTGTTTTTTAAGTTCAATTTGCATATTTTCTAAACCATACAAGGCTTTGTTGGGCTACTCTATAAAGCTTGGAACTCAAAGGTAATTCAGAGATTTATAACTGAAAAAGCTTCCTGGATGGGAAGTGAAATGTCTTTAAACTTGGAAAACAAAGTCCAGTTTGTTTTCCAAGTATCCAGTATGTGTCTTCCAGTTTTCCAGTATGTGTCTTAACTTTCTAGAAATCTTACAGGTTGACTTGATCATTTTCCCACTCAATTTGGTTAAAAAATTCCATCTTTTGTCCGAAGTATCAGTAATGCCACATTTGATTCCATTTGCTTTGGTTCTCAACTCTTGGTTAGCTGTTTTAAATCTAACTTTCATCACGTGAAGAAAAATATTATTGTCAATCTACCAGCATGTTTACCTGGGGGCATCAATTTAGCTAAATAATTCAAGCCAGGAAATATATGGACATTCCCTTTAGGACGGTTATCAAATTTATATAAAGAAGTTGACCATGGGTATGACCTAAAGAAAATTTTGACTGAATCACTTGTGGCTTTTGTAGAGTACATGATAAGAGTACAACTTTGGACTAGGTAAATAAAGTTTCTGTTTAAGAATTTATACTTAACTTTTTTTTAGTTATTACATGCAGCATCAATGTTATCAGTTTATTATTTATGAACTAAGAATCTGGCACATCAACAGTGGTGTGTGCAATTAATATCCTTTAATGCTCCTCAGGGATTCTTGGTCCTTTGTTTTGCAAAGGGAAATTCACAACAAGTGTTGCACTGACTACAAAGTCAGTCCTTTTGCATATCTATTCATGATTTCTAGAAGGATTTCCTCATTAAGGAAAAACTTTATTTAAAATATAAATATAATAGAAGCCTACATTCTTCACTTTTTTTATATTATGGTCATTTTTGGCAAGGGTGGTCATTTGGAGCCCTTTTATATTTCATTTGTGAAATAATTGATTTTCTATTTAATGAGGATTCAAAGATGCTATTGATTTAGATCCATACCTTATTTCCGTTGCCAAATGATGGTTAGTTTGATCAAGCGACCAAATTCATTCTTCAAATCTTTCATGAGGATAAATCTGATCGAAAGCATGCAATGATTATGAACCATGATAAGATAAATTTAATGTAGCTTTTATTATTGCTACACACTAACCATTTAAGTCCAAAGGAAAACAACGTATCTGAAGTCCAATTAGGAGTTGGTAAGGCAATTGTTTATGATCACACTGGAGCCCTCATCATTGTGCAAAATGCATAGAAATAACTTTGTACAGCAAAACTGCTGTCAGAACAGAGCAGTGGGACACAAATTAAACAGCCTGAATGTGCAGCCACCCAGATGGCCATAATGAGAGAAAGGAACAGTAGAAACAACTTGACAATGACACCATCACTCAGGGCTGTTTTTACTTTTTACTCCATCTCGTGTCACAAGTGGTCACAACATGTCAGACAGTGTGACAACAACATCTGCACTGTAATTAATGTCAAAAGAAGAAACATGAAATACTGCTTTGAATGAAGTCATGGCACTCATGACTGCAAGCCACATTAATTACGAGCCCTGCTGCCTTGAGATTGCTGCAGGGATTCAATCAGCTGAGAAAGTGGAGCTTTTTACACACTATAGAGCAGCTGTGTACTGTAAGAATCCCTTATACTAATTAGAGGATGCTTTATTCCCTATTGTTGTGCATCTCATCTAGTTTGTTTGCTCTTGTTGATATTAAAGCACCAGCACATCAGTGTAAGACTGAGATGAGACATTTAAAGCTTTTTAAAGAATTGTTTTTGCATCCAGCGGTACTTATGAGTAGAAAGGGCTGAAAAAAAGCAGTTAGAAGAAAGGGAGAATTGATGGAACAAAGAAAAGGAGACTGCCCCGAAATCTAACACTAAAAGCATGGTAGTGAACATTGTACACATAAATTGATTCAATTAAAGTGTACACCTTTGAAGAATGTTACTGAGATGTTCCCAGTGATGTACCCATCATGACAACACCTTAAAAAATTAAATGGTAAGTTTTCAACTATGTCATTACTTTTCACAAATTACCAACTTCAGCCCTTCATAAAAAAACACTATTAAATTTGCCACAAGCCACATAGCAGATAGAAAAAACATGTTATGTTTACATTAAAACAAAGTGGCTGCACCAACAAGCTAATGTGATACTTAAGTTTTAATAGACATAGGGAATCTTTAAGACTGAGTAACATTAGAGTTGTGTAGATCAGTGGAACTCTTTGATTGGACCAATTACTAGTGTTTTCTCTAAAATAGTTTCTAGAACAAACAAACTACTTGGATCGACTTTGCATAATATGAGTCTAATTAACTCCACATCCAAAATGCGTTTCTACAATATTTTTAAAGTGTGCGTTGGTGACCTACTGTATGATTCTGTTTTTCCCTGATGTGGAGAACTCTGCTGATGTGTTTTAATTCTATCTGTACCAATAATATCAGTGAGATCAACATTGATTGACTCTATCCACCAACCTTGTGTAATGAAACTACTTCAACACTCATTGCTGACTAGCTAAGAAGAGACAGAAAAAATAACCTCTTGACGGTCTTACTGGAGATTCCCACAGACAGCTCAACAAAACACAAAAATGCTGCTAAAAGCTGCCAAAACATATTTTCCCATCTAACATACCCTCTCAAAAAAAGAGGTCTTGACATAATCCTCCAACTGCAGACAATTATATAAAATTGTAATTTCTATATTTCTATCGAGAATGTTAGAGAAAGTCACTCGGTTAAGGATATATCTATCAGCCATCATCTTTGCTAAATTTTATTCTGTTTTTAAATCCTGCCATGGAGCAGAAACGGTCCTAAGAATTATAGACATTTCTTAACCATTGATTTTGAAAACTATTTTATCAGGGTTCCATTCCAGTTTAACCCACAGAAGCAGTTCCTCTTATATAAGAAGTTTGATCTAAAACAGCTCCTCTGACTTCATGAAATCCTCAGTGGTCAAGCTTTGATCCTCTTCCTTTTAACTTGTGCCTACTCCCTTTGGTCTTTATTTTTAGGAAGCATCTATTACCATTGATTCACTGATTAATTAAAGGTTTATCTGCCCATTTACCCCAAAATAATGGAGATATGGCACTTTTTAACAGTATAAATCATATAGAAAATGCTTAACTCCCTAAAAAGTAAAGAAAAGAAATTGAAAGCTACCTAAAGCCATTCTGCTGGTAGGGATTTAGTGTCTACTATTAAACGACCCTTTTTAAAATTGATCCCTTCATTTTTAAATATTTTATTTCCCTACTAAATCTAATTGAAGAAAAATAAACAATATTGCTTCTTTATGCAAAACTGTTTAGATAAAACAAAACAAAACAAAAAAAAGGCATACCCTTTTCCTTTCAGTTAACAGTTCTTCCCAATTAATATTGGTCTATCATATCCGATGACATTAAAAAAAACAATACCTAAACACAGCATGAACAACAAGGAAAATTGAAAACTCAAGGTGTAATGTCTAGTAGGACGACGAATAATTCTGAAGATCATTAATGTAATTTCTTACCGGTTTCTCTAGAAATCTGGACGAAGGCCTCCACTCCACTCTCGCCGTAGTTGCCTTCTGAGGCCAGCGTGGATACATAGTTCCATTCCATCGCTGTGACTATGTCCATCATGGCCTGAGCCTGGTAGGAGTCTGGTGGCACCACACGAGAGAAGAAGTCATAACGACTGTTGTCACTCAGCTCTGGGGCAGTGGAGGCATAGCTGATCTGGGGAATCTAGAGAACAAAAGAAACATAATTTCTTTTAAATACTCTTTTCCAGAATGACAGTTTAAAGTACAGAAAACAGAAGATCTGAGGCAGCGAGAGACATGAAATAATAGCGGGACAAACAGACAAAAAAAAAGCAATGACAACCATTACAAAGTTGACAGATTGACAGCAGAAACACACAAACATTGTGTTTCTGCTGATACGTAACGTAGCAGGCCGAAGGTGTTCATTGGCTGACAGGCGATAGATTTTTCCCTGACAGAGCGGGACAGTAGAGGTGGGCCTGTACCTGTCAGTGTCGACAAAAACACACACACCAATGTCAGTTGCATCTCATTGGCATTCAATAGGGTTACATTAATCTGCCAGTCTCAACAGAAACATCAGGGGCGTCAGTTATCTGCTTTCTACACAATCACACACACAGAAATACACAATATATTAGGATTGCTGAATGCAACAATTCCAGTTGGTTACAGAATAAAGAGTTTAAGACAGATGGTGTGCGTATGTGACTGGAATGTTCATAAAGATCGTCACTCACTGTCTCTATTCCCTTTGGGCCTCATCTCAAATCTCTGCCATCCACTGTCTACATTTCTCCCTTGCCATTTTAAAAAGGTTAAGGATCCATTTTGCCAGATTTTTGATTGCTCTGGAGCTTTGCTGTAAGCAGATTGAAATGGCTTTAACTTCAACGATCAATGCATTGCTCTGTACTGGGTTTGATATATAACAGGTTAAGAGTTTACCTCTAAATTAACCAGCCACTTCAAATCCTAGATTACAAGAAGGTTAACATTCAGATAGAAACACAGCAAAAAGCAAAAAAATACCTAACAGCGTAATTAATGTGGCATGTTCAGTACATGGTACATGGAGATAAAGATAAACGTATATAGAACAGTGTTTTTCAAACCTTGTCCTCAAGGCACACTGCTCTGCATTTTTTGGATGTTTCTGAGCTTCAGCACACCTGATTCAGATGGTTGCATTTCAGCAAAGCCTGATAATCTGCTATCAATTGATAACAGGTGTGTGAAAGCTGGGAAACATCTAAAACATGCAAGCCAGGGTTAAAAAAAAACACTGATATAGAGCATAAGAGCTATTTTCATTTAACGTTTACCTAATTTAAAAAGTAAGAATAAAAATAGAAAAGCTCTGATAAATGAGACCAAAATTAAATTTTCAGGTCTAAATTAAAAACACAGTGTTCTAAGGGAAATAAAAACTGCACATTACTCTGATCATAATTTTTCTTACAATAATACACAATAGTGGCAATATCATGCTGTGGGCATAATAGACAGAATTTGAGAGAACATGAAATGAGTTTAATTTTATTACCAAGCTGGAGGAAAACCCCTTAGCTATACAGGAGCTTTGTCATCCTTGAATAAATTTAAACAGTTCTTAAATGGACATTTTTCAAAGACAAATGGTAACATTTAAGTACAAATCAAAAACTCTTGTGTGCGATATACTAAAGCTCAATTTCTTGCCTTTTCCTGTAATGAATTCAATGCATTTGAATTATTAATGGTCCAAATCTTTTCACATTTACCACACCCTTGTGGATAGATCAGAAAATGTGGAGATGCAATAGGTCTTTTTTGTGGATTTGATTGTGCATAAGGCATAGCAGAGATGGTTTACCACAGCAGAGGCTACTCAAAGTGGGGTTTTATTTAATTTTTTATTTTTTTATTTTTTTACCACCAGGGACTTTATGATTCTTCAGTGAAGTGTGGTTTAAGATGTTTTTATTACTAAATTCAGAAAGGAACAAAAAAAGATTAACAAAATTTTGGCAGCAGATAATACATCAAATTTTAGCCACATAAACTGACCAGTGTGTGAAACAGGTCAATTGTTACCACCAAGGGTGGCACAACCAGTTAATAACTTTAGCAATTGCTTTTATATTCATGCATATTTTTCAAAATAAAGCCTTTAAAAAGAGAAAATGTCCATCTTTAAACAGACACCTCATAATAATAGCTTAGACTTCATCACATCAAGTCGAACGCCATCAAGGAAACTGCTTACAGACAGACCTAGCAGGAATTGGCCTGTACCAATTGTTAGAACTTGTTGTAGGATCTCGTGCCAGTATTAATATACCAGTATTAAAATAGTGATCCATTTCTAAGAAAACAAGATAATTCAAGACGCGTTTACAATTATATCTTCATACTACGTGTATATCAGCAATGAACAGAATGTACTGTAGATCTAACAGCAGTTCACTCTCTAGCGACTAACTCTGTTCCTTAGGAATTGCTCACTCCTCTCAGTGAACACAGGGGTTCATGTACGGGACATTTGAGTACTCTTATTAGCGTCCTCTGTCAGGGGAACACAATTGGAAACTTTCATAAAGTCCAAGATGGGGATGTATAATTCATGGAGGATTGGGATAAACAAATCAGAGGCATGCATGCAGACAGAATCAACTGAGAAAACAAATTGTATGCGTTTTGCTAAGCACTGCACATGCGTTTACATGGCTGGGTTGATGCTTGCTTTTTTTGTCTTTTTTCAGATTTGTACATTTAAATATGGGAATATCCACTTCAAAGAGCTTCAATGCAGTCCTGCAAGAATATGAGTTATTTGTCTGTTTACAACAGCTACAAGAAAGAAACCAAGTGACCCGGGCAGACCCGATACTTTGATCTTTTGTTATTTTTTCCCTCAATATGAAAAGAGACTAACACAAACAGAAATGCACTCATAAATACACATCACAGTCATCTTATTGTTATTTCCCAAAACATTACTTTGGATAGAGAGGAAAAAATCTAGAGCTGGAAGAGAGAGTAAAATAGAAATGAAGCGACACCCAGTTTAGTCTACTGCAGGCTTAGACCTTAACGCTTAAAAACTGAACAAAACTAAACTCTAAAAACTTAGAGGGAGCACATTTAATATGTCTGAGTAAATTACTGATGTGCCATCAGTTGCTGACGAGGTTTTTCAAAGCAAGTGCAACCTAGAGGTAGGAAATTAATGGCTTGGTTCCCCCACATGGCTGTGGAAGATTATTCCTTCAATCCCCCTAATTCCATTAGCTCTAATGAATATGTGCGAGTATGTGAGAGAGGGGAGAGAGGAAATCACAAGTGTATCCAAGAAAATAGAGCAGGCTGATGTGTTTTAATTAACAGTTTTTCACTCTTGCATGCTTATCAGGAGGGTGATGTATTGTTTTTGTGTCTTGATACACCATTGTCTGTAATCATGTCATTGTATGAGTCTTAATCAGCGCTCAATGACAGCCTGGATTAATCCCACTAGAGCTGGGGGTAATGTGTCAAATGGTCAAGTCTGTCAATTACCTCCAGTCTGAAACTTTACAATTACTGGAGAAACAATTGATCCATGTTGTCCTCTAAATATGGGTTTTCTTCTTTTTAAGAAATTGGGTAAAATATCAAACTGGAGGATAGAATATGACAGCACAGTAGAGCAATAGCCTTCTGAAATGTCTAATAAAAGATAATAGGTTCCATCAGTAAGGATGCCTTTACATATTCTATGCTTGATGGGGTTTTTTTTTCTGGCACATGTAGATCAATTAATATCAATAATACTTGGAAAATCTAAACATGCCTTAAATACAAACCTAGTTGGAACAAAAACATAATATTGAAATGATTCTGCCATTTAGTTAAAAAAAACTATCAATGGTGCAATCTAAACTACAGTAGAAGTGTTAAATATCACCTAAAGTATTTTAAAGGTATATGTAGTACCCCATAATTATATCTCTGTATATCTCCATAATTTTTTAAAGATATCTTTATGCACCAAGTGCCTTGTTACATGATTTTTTTTTTTTTTTTGTTACTTTTGAAAGTAGACAGGAAATAGAATTCGAGAGAAAGAGAAGATGTACTAAAAGGCAACGGGCCAGGATTCAAAGTCATGACAGCCAAGTTAAGGACTAGACCTTCGTACATGGATGATATTTAATTAACCTTCTTACTATAGCTTCTCCATGAGATTACGTTTTCAAGTCTGAAAAAGTCTCCAAAAGATTGGAATCATAGCCCAAATCAAGTTAGGCTTCATAGGACCAAAACATATTCTTCTAATATGTTTTAGAAGGCTTATTTTAACCTTATTTTTTATATGGAGAAGAGAGAAGATTGTGGTCACATAAAAAAAATCCTTAGCAGATTTTTTTATGGACTTTGAAAAATACTGTTCAATCCCTTCCCTTTACTTAAACCTTTGTAAGAGTTCTTTAATCCTTTGTAAACTTTGTCTGTACTAAGGCTCAATTTATATCAAGTAAATAAAGATTTAGTATCACAATCTTGTAAGATCAGGATAAGTGCCTCCAAATCCAACACCATGGACTTGAGCCGGAAAAGGGTAGAGTGCCTTCTCTGGGTTGGAGCCCCTTCTTGAGGATTTTAAGTATCTTGGGGTCTTGTTCACGAATGAGGGGAGGATGGAGCAGGAGATCAACAGGCGGATTGGTGCGGCATCTGCTGTGAAGCATGCGCCTTACTGGTCTGTTGTGGTGAAAAGCGAGCTGAGCCAAAAGGCAAAGCTCTTGATTTACTGGTCGATCTACATCCTACCTATAAAGTGTGTCCTTCAGTGGCCCAGCGGGTGACCCATGTATGGAGGCCTCAGTCCTCAATTTGGCCAACCTGGGTTCAAATCCAACCTGTGGTCCATTGCCGCATGCCTCTACCCCTCTGTCATACCCCCTTTCCTGTCAGCCAACTGTACGAAAAACGAGCCCCTGGTGCTTTAAGAACCTAAAAGAAAAAATAACTTTTAAAAGAGCCAACTCCGTGCTGTGAAATGACTTGAAACCCAGCTGTTCTTTTTTGTTTTATTTTGTTCTTTCAAATAGACCAGTAGTAGTAGTAAACTACCTTCTTGAGGATTTTTGAAAGGAATGGTAGTTTAGAAATAGGCCTATAGTTATCCATAACAGAGGGATACAAGCTGGGTTACTTAGAGGTTGGACAACTGCA